GGCGGGGACAGGTTGGGGTGAGAGGGGACCCCAAAACCAGGCGGGCACTGCCGGCACCCAATGGGCTGTGAGGAATTAAGCTATGTTTCAGCTGAAGCTAATCACCAGCTCCAGCTTTGCATATGCATGAGGCGGATGAATTATTCATGAGGTGACAGCTAGTGACAGATGTGAAAATGTTCGCCCGGCTTGGGGGGGCGGCTTTGCACCAGTGTTATTTTAAATTTCTCTTGTCTGCCTTTCCCCCGGCTGGACTGGGGAACGGGGACACGCTCCTGGTCCCCAAAAGGGCCCGGGACATGCTCCTTGTCCCTGATGGGGTTGGCACTGGGGATATCACCATGCCCTGAGCTGGTGGCATTGCCCAGACTGCAGAGAGAGACCCCCCACCATGAAATTCATCCCCTTGGCATGGCTGGCACTGGCTCCTGTGTCACCCTTCTCGCCTTGCTGTCACCAGCACAGCGATGCCCAGTGTGGCTGAGCCCATGGCCCCATCCATGGGGACCCCAGCCACATCCTGCCCCGGTGGGATGGGGCTGGTGCTGCAGGGCACAGGGGCTGTGGGGAGCCAGGACCCGGCCAGTGCCGATCTCAGTGGTGCCATGGGGTTGGGATTTGGCTGGGCTGGCCTTGGGCTACCTCACCGGTGTGGCCAGAGCCAAATTTTAGAGCAATGGATCACGAGGAGGTGGGAGGGAGACAATCTCAATAATTAATGAGGTACCAAGGCCGGGACGATGCTGGCTTGGTGGTCTGGGGGTCCTCGCGCAGGGGACGCTGTGTGCGGTGGCACTGGTGGGGATGGCGGTGGCCGTGCCTCTGGCCGTGACCTTGGCATCGACTTTGTGCTGGCTCAGCAGGGCCCAGCTCAGCGGCGGGGGCAGCCGGGGGTCTCGCAAGGGGCTAGGGGCGCGGTGAGGATCTCCCTTTGTCTCCATGGCTCAGAGTGGAGCCAAGGTGCCACCGGGGCCATGGTCCCTGTATTTTTGAGGGCAAAGGGGCTGCATGTCCTGTCCCCATGGTTGAGGGAGCCTGGGAATCCCCACCACTATGATTGGGTTTTCCAAGGAGGCAGTGGGTGCTGTTGGCGGGTCCAGCCCTTCCCACCGTGGCTTTCACTGCTGTGAAAGCAAAACCTGCAGAAACGCTGATGTCAGAAAGGCGATGGTGCAGCCTGAACCGCACAGCCCTGCGGCCCCCGCCACCAGTGGACCCCTACCACCAGTACCCACCTGCTCCCTGGTGCTGCCACGCCAGGGTACCCCCGTTTCGGGGACCACAGCCCCATCTGTCTGTCCCTGCCACGGAGCAGCGGTTGCGAAGGCAAAGAGCAACTTTTGCTGTTTTAACATTTAAATAAACCCCGGGCTGTTTGCTCAGCAAGGACCAAGCTCCAGAGCAGTGGCTCTGAGTAAACACCTGAGAGCTCGGAGGAGTTTGCACCTCAATGTTGCTTTTCGATCCCTTCGGCTCCGTCCCAGTCCCATGATGCAGCCCGAGGCAGGGCAAGGGGTCAGGAGCCCATGGTTTGGGGTTGGGAGTGTGGGCTGCCACGCTGGGAGCTGGGGGGAAGCACGGGGTGGGAAGGAGGAGGAGGATGGAGAAGGGGAAGGTTTTGGGGTGCTCTAGGGGTGTTGCTAAGTGAGACCCAGTTGCTGCTGTCCCACATGGGAAATTGTCCTGTTTGCCCTTCAGATGGGAAAAGTTGCCTGGAAGCTGCAGTGTCGAGGGATGTGAAAAAGAAAATGGGTGAAAATACAGAAAAAAAGGGCTTGTGGGTGATTCAAAGTGCTGGGATGTATAAGCACAGCCCAGAGCATCCTTCTGCACCAGTGCTGAGTGTCCTGGGTGTCCCCATCTCGCACCCACCACCCACCCTCACCTGGGGCCATCCCAGAACTGCCCCATCCCACATCGCGGTGCTTCTGGTTTGCACTGGGAGAGCTCCCAGCACCCCAGAAAGTCAAAACTGGCATTTCCGTGGGGACGAACTGGACCCTCCCAAGCCCACTTATGCCAAGTAATTTATTTTGCCCCCTCTGTAGTAGAAAGACAGGAAAAAGTTTGGGGTCCTGTCACCTCCTCATTTTTTATCAGCAGCCACGTTTGGAGGGAGGAAGCCCCATGGAGCTGCTGGGGAGGGAAGGGTCTGTAAACGCTTTCTTCTTTAGAAGAGTTAAGATAAAACTCAGCTTTGCACCCCTCAAAAGGCCCTTTTCCCAGCACCGAACACGGGGTGGTCTCCTTTTTTCTCACTGTTTTGCTCTTTCTTTTCTATTTTTGTCCCATAAAAGTGAAAGGGACAGAATGCGAAATTGAGGGCTGGAAAATGGAGCATCAGGGATGGGGGAACCTGAGCCGAAACCTCGGCTCTGGGCAGCTGCAAGAGGGATGGGAGGGCTCCTGGTGTGTCCCCCAAACCCAAGAGATCCCCAGTTTACTATCCTGACTGGGGTCAGTGCCAGAGCGGGAGGACCCATGTGGGGACCAGCAAACCCTGGATCTGCAGAGGGACCATGGCTTTGATTCAAACTTGTGGCTACGTGGTGCTGAGCTCTAGCATGGGCTTAGGGGTGCTGGTTGCATCCCCGGTTTGGTGGCATGGGGTGCCAGAGCCTGGTGAAAACCCAAAACAAAGCCCAGGAGGGGCTGTGGTTGTAGTGGAACCGGGTGAGAGCCCAGTGGTGGCTGTGGTGGGATCCAGGTAGTGGTTGTGTGATTCTGGTGATGGTTGTGGTGGCCATGCTGAGCAGGGCCAATCCTGCTCCCTCCCGGTGTCAGTGTTGGCGTGGCCATGGCCGTGTGGTGATTTATGGCTCAGGCAAGCGGGAAACGGGTGAGCGGCGTCCTCCGACCCCCTCCCGTGCTGTTGCAGGTCAAGGATGGTCCATGTGATGGAGGATGCCGGCTGCTGGCTCCTGCTTGGGCTCTGCCTCCTCCCCGGCGCCGTCCTGGGTAAGTGCTCAGCGTCCCATGGCTGGGGCTAATTATCAATAAACGGGAACTAATAATGAACTATCGACCATAATAAATAGGGAGGGTGGTTAACAACCAGAGGCCCTGCCCTGGGCTGCCAGGGATTAGAGAGGGAGAAGCCCTCCCAGCATCCGCAGACCCCCCCCATACTGGGATCCCTGCAGGCGAGACCTTAAACCCTTAATCCAGCCCATGGCCCCCTCCGCGCTGTGGAGCCGAGCCCCCTGGGGATTTGCTGGGAGAGCCCATGTTCCCCCCATCCCTTGCAGTGGAGGCTTTGGGTTTCCCTGCCATGTGTCTTCCAGCGAGCAAAGGGCTGAGGGTGCGCTGGAGGGGGGTGGAGACGGTGCCAGGCGGGGATTAGTGGCCGTCCCTGGTCCTCCGCTGGCCAGGCCAGGGGGGGGGGGGATCCCCCCCGCCCCCCCCGGGGGC